AGGAAAGGTTAGGGAGCAGTGCTGGCTGGCCAGACTTCTTGACAGAAGAGCAAAGCATGACGATTCCAGTGAGGATGGGACAGCTCATCAGTCCCTAGCCAGAGACATGGTTGCATAAGAACAGAAAGAGACAAGACAAATGCACAAAGATGACACCCACCTTTGTTTAAAATATCTATTTGCTTACCCAGGCTCCCAGCCCAACCTTGAAGACTTTTGCTGCCCCTTTACATGGGCAGGAAACCTCTCCCGTATTAGTGATCTGAAGGCAGGTGCTAACTTTGCACCTCCCGAGTACAGGCTCAGACTGGAAAAGAATGTGATGGTGCATTTTCCAAGCTCCACTCAAAATATACTTTGAAAAACATTGTTCATAGCAGACTGTGCAGATATTCAGAATATGACTGTGTTCTCCAGGTGCTCAGCTCCCCATCACTGAGGTCTGAATACACAAAGCACAGGAAGTCTATGTTTCTACTTACTGAGCCTTGCACATTGTCCCACTGTGCTTCTTGAATTAAATTTAGGGGAGAGGTGCAAATGACACCCACTGGACTTTGGTAGACCATTTGGGTTTGCCTCCTTCATTGGGGCAGAAGGAAGTGGCAGCATTTCCCAAATCTACTGACTCATGTCAGAATGGAGCTGTCACTCTCAGTAAATCGCACAGATCTTCTCAATAGAATCCCTCTTCTCCCTTTTTGCATGTTTTAACAATAAGTATTTAACGTTTTCAGGGCCTGTCTCCTAACAATTACTTCTTAGCATACCAGAGGGGGGGAACTGACCCTACAATTAGCTTTCCATGCACTAACTGTCCATTAATATGCTTTGAGCTAGTCCCATTTCAAAGTGCACTACAGAACTGTGAGTGTAAACAGGACAGCCAGCTGCAAACTGAATGTTCATGTAGATAAGACCAAAATGTCTACGTCATCACTGAATATCTGAATTAGCCCTCATTCGGATAAATGGGGCAGTTCATACTTCTCCAAGTATTCAAGTTCTGCCTGCAGGGCGAGCCTGAACTAACACAGCCATCTCAGCAACAGACCAGTTAGAGATTTTTTTTTAAATGAACGCTTAGATTCTAGTGAACAAAGCAGCAGCATGAAAGAGGGGATGATGCACTCTACTGCCAGATCCCAGGGTCAAGAAAAGCACACAACTCCCCAATACTTACATGCTGCTGATGGGCATGTGGCTGAAGAGCTGTGGGACAGATCCCTGGGATACCAGCGTCTGGCGGTTGGGCTTGTTCAGCCCACAGGCCAGTTTTGCCAGTACCTGGAATATGGAAGAGTGTGGAAACCCCATTACTGCAAACCCCATATGCTCAGAGGACCATAGGCTTCTAAAAAACTCTGCCTCCTAGGTTCTGCAATACAGCCCGCAGCTAAAGGCTGCAGGACTTTGGGATTTCACAGTGTTTTCCATGGGCAGAGCATTGCTGAGAACAAGATTCATGTTTCATCACTCTTTATTCCCAGTTATTAACTACCTCAGTATCTGAACAGTGCTGGCTAAACTGTCCTTAAACACAATGTTGTGTGAAAGTCCAACTCTGAGAAAGAAGTCAGAGCCCCATTTTAGATAGTCTAGAAGACTTAGGGTGTTTAGCATGGATATGTTGGCTCAGTTTTGGTCAGAAAACTTTGCTAGAGCCTCAAGAGCAGCCATCACATTCCTGCCCTATTAACTATCCCTGCCTCCTTTCTGTCTGATCTTCTCTTCCATCCTCTCTGCTCCTGTCTTGCTCTGTCTTCTCTCTGCAAGGTCAGCAGCAACAGAGTGCTACAGAAGGAAACCCACAAAATGCGAGTCAGTAAAAAGTCACATAGTTGATGCAGCAAAAAAAACCCAGAGCCGCAGTATCAGAGTGAGTCAGTTCCCCTTCACAGCTGGCTGCACGAGTGTGGTTATGGTTGCTGCAAGCAGCTGGTTGTACATTATTCAAAGCACATCCACCAGACTGCAAGATAGTGAGTCTCAGAGTGCCAACCTAATCCATCTCACATCCAGCATTGATGGAGGGAGGGGACCACAATGACCTAGGGTATGACAAATTAAAGAAGAGTTTACACCAGTAAATACCTTCTACAGGCATAGAACATGCCTCCTCACTGTAGGAAAGAAACACTAAGATCAGTCATTTCTAGAGAGGACTCTCTCCTGAGCACTAGATCTTTTCCACAGTAAGTTGACTGCTCAAAGTGTCAGAAAAATCAGAGTCCTGGCCAGTAAGTGAATCCAGGTCCAGATAGTTTACATCTCCATGGTACTGGGCAAATATTATAACCCATTCCTATATTTAATGTTATTTTCAACTACATGTTTAAATGTGACCATGATATTCCATTCTACTCAGATGCTATCAGACAGGGACTCTGACAGTTTCCTTTATTTTCCTGCATAATCAGAGTTCACCATTTGAAATAAAATCACCCCATTGTGTTACACACACCTTGTTGTGTGAAATCCCAGCTGAACACCTCAATCCTGTAACTGCTTCTACTGCTGCCCTCATTTCCTCCACAATTACTGCTCCGACTGTCAGCTGCAGGTCTGGACAGCTGATGTCACCAAAAGGCAGTGATTCAAGCCACTGGCGCAAGCCACGCTGCCGCAGCGCCTCTGAAAAAAAGAGCACAAAGGAGATTAAAACCCAACACAGCAAGGAGTGTGGGGGTTCTAGCAAGCCAGAATGAATGGTGGCCATATGCTTGTCACTGCACCTTTACTCCATGGTCAAAAGTTAAGCACCCTGCACCAGTGCATTTATAAAAGAAAAAAATCCTCTTTACTAAACATATCCTTTGGAAAAAGGAAAGCAAGTCTCTTTGCTATCATATTACTAAAACAGACACAACTATTCTCCCAACTGCACCCTGGGCACCCAAGGTGAACAAGATGAAGTAAGGTTTCAGAGAGCTAGCTGTATTAGTCTGTTTCAACAAAAAACAAAGAGTCTGGTGGTACTTTAAAGACTAACAAATTTATTAGGGTATTAGAGCATAAGCTTTCATGAGCTACAACTCACTTCCTTAGATGCTAACAAGAAGACAGGCAGAAAGAGAAAAAAACCACACTTCCACACACAGATCTGTGCTGCAGAATATCTTGAAATCAGGGGTGTAGCCACGAATGGGCCTGGGTGGGCTGCAGTCCATCTACCCCCAGTCCTACCTCTGCTCTTGCCAGTGCTTGTCTGGCTCCACCCAGTGCTCCAGCTGGGGCAAGAGACAGGTCGGAGCCCGGTCCCACTCCATTGCTCCTGACAGGGAGAGGAGTTGGGGGCTTGCAAGCCCCTTGTGCCCTGACCTCACTCCCTGACTGGAGTGCTGGGTGGGCAGGGGAAGCGAGGCAAGCCCATGATCCTCATCAGTAGCAGAAGTGCCCAGCAAGGCAAACCCAGAGCACCCATCGCTGCTCAGCCCCACCCCCCAGACCGAGTCCCTGTGAGTGCAAAGCCCCAAAGGATCCTGAGCCTCCACCTGCCTCCTGTGTGTGCAAGGTCCTCAGCCCCAGCGTTGCCGCCTCCTCACTACTGCAGGTGGAGCACAGCCCAACCTGCTGCCAGGATAGCGATGGGGCTGCTCACACACCACGAGAGCCCACCCTGCCGAACTCCACACAGCCCAATCTGCTGCCTGCCCCACAGAACTAACTGAGGGACATGCCCTCTTACCATGGCAGCGGCACTCCTCCACGTATAGCTCTGAGGCCCGTGCACCTGGGGGCGGGGGTTGCTTTCTTTACCGCCCTGCCTGCTCGCTGGAGCTGGTGCTACAGCTACAGCCTTGAGGCTGCACACCAACCACAAGGCTGCAATGGCAGCATGGGCTCCCCGCTGCATGGGGGAGGGTGGGAAGAGAAAGCTCCCGCGATGGACCACCTGGGAGGCAGCCACAGACCACATTTTGAAAAACACTGCTCTAAATAGACCACAGTCGGTACATACTTTTGTCTCAGTCTGCAAAGTGCTCAAGTACGTGCACAACAGCGCTCCCGAGTGGTTGTTTGTGAATGTTTGGACTAGATCTTAGTGGATTTTGAAACTGTCTGAATTTGACCTTCAGCCCATGGATATCAGCGACCTGGGTGCAGGCATTCTGCATGGCAAGTAGGGATGAAAGATTGGTAAGGGCCAAGCAGGGAAAGGAGATGCTAGAATTCTTCCCCAGACTCTATTTGCAATGCTGGCCTTTCACAGTCACAAGTAAGTTGCCTTTCACCTGTTACTAAGGAAGCCTTGTTTCCCTTGTGTTTCCACACTGAGGCTATGTCTAGACTGCAAGCCTCTTTCGAAAGAGTGCATCTAGACTGCACGCGGAATTTCGAAAAAGCAAGCCGCTTTTTCGAAAGAAAGCACCCAGTGAGTCTGGATGCTCTCTTTCTAAAAAGCCTGTTTGCTGTCAAGAACGCCTTCTTTTGAAAGTGATAGAGATGTAGCCGTGTTAGTCTGGTGTAGCTGAAACAAAATACAGGACTATGTAGCACTTTAAAGTGCTACATAGTCCTGTATTTTGTTTCAGCTACACCAGACTAACACGGCTACATCTCTATCACTTTCAAAAGAAGGCGTTCTTGACAGCAAACAGGCTTTTTAGAAAGAGAGCATCCAGACTCACTGGGTGCTTTCTTTCGAAAAAGCGGCTTGCTTTTTCGAAATTGAGTCTGGACACAGCCTGAGAGGCCTCCTTTTTTCCTCTTTCTTTGATTTAGACTGCAGTGTAGGGCAATTACATTGTAACCTCACTTTCTTTAGAGATGAAGAAAAATAAACTAAAATGAAGAGCAAAAAGAAACTGTTTAACACCAGGAACAGGAAGCAGCATCTGCCTGGTGGCTTGGCATTACCTTTGTGATCCATATTCTCTTTCTCTGCTGCTGTTGTAGAGATGTTGGGCAGTCCCTGGACGTAGGTAGTTGGCAGCAGCTCTGCTAAGATAGGTTTCCCTTGCATCTTCTTGAGCCTCTCTTGTACAGCACTAGTCAGGTCCATGTAAGCTTCATCAATGCTGGCACGCTCAATCACAGCAAAGCGCGACATCACTTTCATCACCTCTACACTGGCCTCTCGGTACCTGCAGTGAAAAGACACAAGCAGTTTAGTCTTTGTCATGAACATGGGGACTCAAGGGCCTCTCAGCCTACGGTCTCTTTCCTTTCATCTCTCCATACAACTCCTCTACTGGATGGGAGCCTAGTAGCAGGACGGCAGGTGACAGCAGGGCCCAGGCCAGCATCCAAAAGCCCACCCAGGGCTGGAGCTGGTGGCTGCAGGACCAGCCGGGGTAGAAGTGGAATCGGTAGCAGGGAGGGTGGCAGACTGAGGGGCTGGTGACAGGGGACCTCTTCTGATCCAGCAAATTCCCAGCAAAAAACCTGTAGTTTGACCCTCCTGTAGATAAACTCAGAGGCTGAAAGGCAAGGCAACACACATTAGTCACCTTTTCTGAATCTGTGTAGTGCTAGGGAAGGGTCTGGCTTGACAGAACCAGACACTTAAGGCTAAGCTACAGATGGCTAAGCTACATAACTGCCTCTCTCTCAGATGATACTATGTCAATCTAATACTTGGTGTAGACATGACCAGTTGATGGAAGGATTCTCCCAGCAACTTAGCTACTACTTCTTGCGGAGGTGGATAAGGACACTGATGGAAAAACTTCTTCCATCAGTACAGGAAGCAGCTAGAGCAAGACTATGATCACCTTTGCTATGGCTACGCTACAGAGCTTACAGAGACAGGGACACATCAAGCCCATAGGAAAGAGCTCTCCTATCAACTTCATTACTCCAGCCCCAGTGATCAGCTAGATTAGCAAGAGAAGTGCCCCTGTACATATAATGTTGTCCACACGGCCCTTAGCTTGGTGCCTTTTATGCGGCTCACGAGGGTGGCTTATTCACATCCCAGAGGAACACAGATGATACCAAGCCATCCGGGGCTACCACTCTGTGCCTAGGCCCTTGCACAGACCTGGCCTGCAGGCTGGTGAGGGGCAGGTTTCCCGCTCCCCCCTCGCAGTTCTCCTCGGGGCCGGCGCAGAAAGGTGGCTCCTCAGTCCCTGTCCCGGGCGGGACGGAGCCGGGCGCTGCAGACACCCAGCGGGGCTCGCCTCACCTGCTCAGATCCGCCTTCCCGTAAGCCTGGGGGATCCGCGCCAGCACCAGCTCCGGGCAGCGCTTCTTGGCCTCGTCC